TGAAACCATACAAGGGGGAACTTATCGGGGTAAGCTCATGATCGACCTTCATTTTGTCAAATGTGGTTCCAAATAGGATATTGACAGCGCTTCCATTATCCACTAACATCATTTTCAGACCATTTTGAGCCACAACGACCCTTATTACTAAGGCGTCACAGTGCGGATAATGCACTCCCATAGTGTCCTCATGTGTAAAAATGATAGGAGGTAAAACCTTCTTACTTGGGGATTGGTTGACCATGTAGCTTGCCATAGTTGGATAGACTGCTTCCTTAGCGTAATTCTTTTGGGAATTCCTGGATTTTCGACCGACGTGAGGACCGCCTATGATTGTGTCGATTTCTAGAATAGGCTCACGTTCGCTACCTGGTACGGGGTTTCGACGTTGCCTCTGACCCTGCCTGGGTTCTTCAGCGTCATTATCCCTTTCTCTCGAAGGGTCGTTGCTATTGGACTGACGTTGCGCGTCGCTCCGGGATTGTTGGTTTTGCTTGTTCGGAGCATTCCTTGGGGGAAATTTCATGGCATCTCGAAAATCCTCTGTCCGATGTCCGTGAGATTGGTGATATAAGCAATATTGCGGTGCTCCTATCCTGTTTCTAGGTTCAACACCTTGTCCCCTACCTCGCCCCCTTTGTAGATTCCTTGGGTAGGGCTGACGCCAGCGCATTTTAGCGCTAGGATTGACTTCTTCGTAGGCCAGTGTTGGTACCGTGCTGAGTGTTGTAACAGCAAGCTCCTGTCCGTGATTCATAGGGGCTTGACTATCCATCAAGTGAGAGGTTAGACCCCTCCCCCTTCACATCTGCAGAGGTGGCAGACCTTGACTGGCCTGTTCTTATGATCTTTGAGTTCCTCATTCACAATCTCGCGCCTTATCATCTCCAAAAGCGTGTCATGGGTGGCGGGGTCTCTATTTTGCACATCTCTCCAGAAAAAAGAGTTCATATCTAGGCCTCCTTTCAGGGCAGTCAAGGCTTCCTTATCCTTGACTTGCACACAATATGTCATTTCATCGGTGAATCATGAAGTAAAACTTTTCAGCGACTCTCCTTGCTGCTGCCTCATATCTTGCAGCCTTTGGATGGGTCTTTCATGCCTCATATCTTACAACCTTTGGATGGGTCTTTCCCCCTCTTTACTGGTTGCGAAGCGCTTTAAGAAAGTCTTCTTGAACTCTGGCCAACTCCGGATGCTCCCCTCTGGTAGCCGGCATGCCAGATTTCTGCCCCTCCACTTAAGGTTAAGTGAAAGGCCCTACATTTCATTGCCGAAGTGGCCCCCTTCAGATTCAGGTGTGTCTTGTAATTGTCCATGTGCCTGGCGGGGTCACCTCTCCCATCGTACTTTTGGATTTGTGGGAGTACAAAGTGGCTCAGCATAGGCGCGCTCCTTATGGCCTCGGAGAAAGAGGAGTGCTCATTATCATCATCAAGGTTCGCAAGATCTCTTGACGCTCATCGGGATTTTCTTCTTTTCTTGGATTGATCGGGGAAGGTGGTTGGGAAGTTTCAGCTTCGCTCCTGGCTCATTCCCGCCTTTCACGCCTATTTCTAGGAGGACGGACTAGGGGTACCTCATTATCATACCTATTGCTAGGTGCCCGAGGTAGATTGGCTCGCCTATTTCTAGGCATTCTTGGACTTATCATGTCGAAGACACTACCTGACCTCTAGGGTCTCTCTTCCTGCAGCCTTTCCGAAGCATGATAGTTAGATGAATCCTCTTCTTCCTGTGGAGCTTCCGTTCCGTAGGGGCAATGTCCTGCCATTTGGCTCTGGACCTCCTTATGGTAATAAATTCGAGCGTCGGGGAATACGTCTTCGGGAACCATATATTGTGGACCTCGGTGGCCTCCGTATTCTTGCATGTGCATCAACATTTCATGCATGGCTTGGTTTTGCTGAGCGATATTCCTCATGTTGGCAGCCATTGTTGCTATTTCTCTAGTTAACCTGGCTGCAACTCCACTTCCACACCTGGGACCTCCCCGTCTGCTCATTGGAGGTCTCGGTTGGGTTATCAGAACAGCTCGTGAAGGTTCTCCTTCTTCAGGGCGTTCCCTTGTCCTTTTAGGGGCATTTTCGTCAGTGGAACTCATTTCTTGGTCCCGTGATATACCACTTGGTTCCTTTCCTCAGGGGATTTCTAGCTCTTTTTCTGTTCCCTTTTGCAAGGGTATTCCTTTTTCAAGGATGAAAAACTCTCTTAGAAACGCATTTTCACGCGTGCTTCGTGGTTAAATGTTAGATCTGCACACAGACAACGTCAATCTGTTGACCCCAAAAAATGAACTCAACAGATATCGGGCCCACTCTTGCCATGCCAAGCAATGATCCGACGCGTTTCTACCAGAACAGGAGCAGTAGTGCGGTTGGTAAGAACGCGGGAGGTGCTATCCGGCAAGAGACACAACTGTTCAAGCTCCGACGGTGTTATTTAAACAGCCATTGCGCTATCAACAAGAGTTAGATCGATTTTTCCTAAAATGAATATCTGTTGCATAATGAAGTATGTGGAAGGATAGATAAAAGAGAATATCTTATGATACGTTATGGATTTTAATACAAGTCGTCTTATTCAATATCAAGCCAAGCCAAATGCCCCTCTCTTTCTCCTTCCCTCCTTTGTACAATGAGGGTTTTATTTATACTAATCTAATTGACATGGTGACCGTTAGATCAAATCCACGTGACGACATCCCCTGGACTGAAACTTCACATCAATGTCCAATCCTTACAATTATTGTTTTGCAGGAGATCCGCCGCTCTACTTTGTAGACTGGCTTACTGACATACATTAATGCTACAGACACCCTATGGTGGATGTCACGTCAATCATTCCTATAAGATTTTCGAATCCGTTATGAAGAAACGTATGTGTTAAGTTTCAGTGTTTCGGTTTTCAAGAGCCTATGCATCTGAATGAAGGAGCTTCGGACGTAGGAGTGTCCCTTGACCCGGTATGCGTTGGCTTCCTCATTGACTTTTCAACTAGCTTTCAATCTACTTGGCTAAAGGGAATACGTGGCTGCCCACGTGGGCTGCTGCCCTGAAGCTTCCAATTCTGGGGGGTAACAATAGTCCCCTCCAACTACTTTCTGTCTATTTGGCAAGAAAAAAGTCTACGTGGATGTCCATGTGGACTACTGACGTGGACCTTCCAATTCTGGGGGATAACAGTAGTCATTGCCCTAATTTTCTTACCAGGGCTAAGTTGTAGCATCATGCATATAAAATAGAATGTCGCATCAATGTGCTGCAAGTCGATAAAATTTATAAGAATGTTCGTATCATTGATACGCACATTGAACGTTAATCCCAATAGTAAGGGCATAATAGTTATTTTAAAGAAATTTGTACATATTTTGAATAAGGGTAATTATATTACCACTACAAAATTTATTAAGTGCACCACAATTTTCTTATTTACTTAAATAAAAAAAAAAAAATTAAATGTTTAAAATCGATCCTACTAAAGTCCATTTTTCATTCAATTTTGTAAGAATTTATAAACGATTATTAGTTGGCGAGTCGGTGTCTTGCAATTTTCCATTTCATATTCTTGTCGTACAGCACGCAATTTGCCATCATCATCATGACTGACTGACTTCATACCTTTTAGATCCCCTGTCCACAAATCCAATATCAGAACTCCAACTGACCCATTCATTCATCATTTCCTTAAATACTGCATTCCAAAGCTGAAACCTTCCGTCCGTCTTGCCATAATGCGAACCAGCACAAAATTCCAAACCAATCGCACAAAAGTCCACTTTCCCTCTTTCGCCCTATAAATTTATTTCCATCACACTCCCGATTGCAGATCTTCTCGTTTCACTCATGTTAGATGCCTCCCATTGTGTCCCACTTTTGTCGTGTGACCTGTTCTACCAGTGTCATGTGTTAACTTTGCGAACTTCGTGAAGGTTCGTCACATTGTTTTTGTATGGATCAGCGTTGGAAATGGGATTCTTTGAGTGGGAAATGTGTTGAAAGTGTTTTGATTTTGTGGGTTGGTGTTGAATGTTGAAAAGAACGAGGAGATTCACGATGATCTTCGTTTTTGTTAGATGTATATATTGAAATGCTTTTCTTTTAGATCTGAATAGCATTCTGGAAAGGAATCTTAAAACCTAAATGCTAAAATTCTTAATCGGTGGGTTATTTGGAATTTTTTGGTTGTTGGGATTTTTAATACGACGTCGTGCCCTCTCTCCTTCTCGCTCTGCATTTTCACATCTGTTCGCCACCTGCTGCGGCTTATATCTCATTTTCACAGAGAACTCTCAATCTTTAATAAAAGGTCAGTAAAGATTTTTATTCGAAAACTCTGCCCTTTACTTTCTTGTTTATATATTGTATTATCTTATATACACAGTGTCTGATCTGATCCATCCCTTCCAAAACCCCAAAAAGATAATCCAAATTCAGAAACAGATCTTGATTAAAAATAAAATCCCTAAATTTTCTTAGCGTTCGTTCGTTGTTTATGATCTGGGCCATTGATATCTGCTCAATGCTAAAGAAATATTAATAGAATTTAACGAGGATGGGTGCAAGTATACAATTATTTAGTATGTATCAGCAATACAATTTGTGCAATTTTGGTATATACTAATAGACAATTAAATACACAACATTTTAATTAATATTCTTCTTTAATTCAGTCAATATTATGCAACCCAATTTTCCGAATATGCTATTATCGTTGTCAAAACATCTACAATTACAATACATTTTTAGTTTTTTATAATGTTTTATCTACAGTTCAAGGATTTCGTGCCAGTAAGGCAGTAACTAACAAGAAATGCTAGAGATGAAATGCATGGGAAAAATTTGGGAGATTTATGCTATCCGTCTGTCGTTTCTTCCCTAAATGTTGAAATTCTTGATTGGTGGGTTATTTAGAATTTAAAGGCTGTTGGGATTTTTGATTGCGTTTCTTTACTGGACTTTGATGTTATTGAGGTTTTCTCTCCAAAGAACTTGTGAAAAATGGAAGTATCAAGTGGATTAAACCCAAGAGTTAACCCGGTTGGATTGCATAAAGAACAAGAAGAGAATAATGAAGGACAAGATCTTCAAATCTTTGAATTGGACTCAGTCGAGTATGTTATTCGATCTGATCGCCATTTTCATTCGATGAATGCACTTGAAATTCTGAGGGAAACTGTGAGAATTCTTCGATATAATTCAACGGGTTTTATGGCAATTGCAGCATTGCTAATATGCCCTGTAACGGCAGTGCTTTTGTCGAATGTGCTGGTCAATCAGTCCCTTGTGAAGAGGCTGACCATACGGTTGTTGCTAGTTGCAAAATCCAGTGGACTCCCTCTCAGGCCTTTTATCAAACAGTCATGCCAAAAGTTCGCAGAAATGGCAATTTCAGCTGTAATGTGTTTCCCTTTGTTTGTTACATTGTCGTTGTTGTCAAAGGCTGCTGTGGTTTACTCGGTTGACTGTACTTACTCGAGGAAAAGATTTGATTCTTCAAAGTTCTTTGTGATTGCTTCGAAGATTTGGAAGCGCATCTTTGTGACGTACTTGTGGGTTTGTATGGTGATTGCTGGTTGCCTCGCATTGTTCCTTGTGCTACTGGTTGTAGTGAGCTGCATGTTTTCAGTTATGGGATTCCCTTCAGATTTGATTTTGTATCCTGCAATGGTAGTAGGATTGATTTTCTCCATAATTTTGGCGAATGCTATCATTATATGCAACATTTCTATTGTCATCTCTGTTTTAGAAGATGTTTCAGGGCCACAGGCATTGCTGAGATCGAGTTCTTTAATTAAGGGGCAGACCCAAGTTGGTCTATTGATATTTCTTGGATCGACAATAGGGATGGCTTTTGTGGAAGGACTTTTCGAGCATCGGGTAAAGACACTAAGCTATGGAGATGGTTCTTCAAGGATATGGGAAGGGCCCCTTTTGGTAGTAATGTATTCATTTGTGGCGCTTATCGACTCAATGATGAGTGCCGTTTTCTACTTCAGTTGTAAATCTTACCGTATGGAATCTGCAAATATAGAAAGCCAACCGGTTTTAGAAGCCCTGACTATTTCATCCGGATCAGCTGATGTTCAATAGCATCATCTCGGATTCCATTTGTGGTCTGTCTACTTCAGCTTGTTGAAGAAAGATAGGAATGACGTTGAAAGCTCGAGTCTTGATTTTTTTTTGTGCTCCAGTACCACCAATAAGGAAACGTGTAAAGCTTCTCAAAAATGTAAAACAGTTTTTTTTTTTAAAGGGGTTAACTCTATGTAGCTTCCGTTCATTGTTAGACAGACATGTTATCAGAAAGTATCAGTAATTTCAAACACAAACTGAAGAATCAAAAAGCTTCTGAAAGTTTGATAATTGGATCATTCAGAATACTGTCCCGGGAAGCATTTTGGAAGTTACCACATACTTTGTATTGCTTTTTTATCACTTGTAGTCAATACAGATCACTATTTTCTTTCACTTTCTTGTTGATGACTTCGATTTTGTTTTGCTTTCCATTGCCCTTTAGCTTTCCGTTTGCAAAGCATAAGACTAAAAGAAATGACACAAGAACCAAAATCGAAGTTGAAGCAATTGAAGATCCAATGTTATGGTCATTGAAATGTCGATGACAAGGATCTCATTTTTCATCATCTCGAAAATATCAAATAGCCCTCGACTCATCAAATCCTCCGCCCTTGTTACTTTTCGAATTTAGATACCTAAAACACTCACTCTGTAGGACAACGTAATCATTTAGTGGATCTACTCTGATCCTTATTTGTCCTACGACTAAAAGGACATTCAATATATCCTGTTTTGGTAGATTTCAATAGGTCAAATATTATGTTTATTGACATTAAATCGCTCTGAAATTGGATTGCTCGTCTTTCATGTTTGCAGACCAGATACATGGCATATATTTGTGGATGTCACGCTTGGATTTCAAAATTGGTGTTGATGTTAGAATAAAATCAAAGACAACAGGACATGCCTATTTCTACCAATCTTTCACACGAGGACTGGGGAATAGGCAAATAAAAAACTTCACTTTGAATTTCGGACCTCAACATCGTGATGCGATGGATAGAAATCTTCACACAATTTCGACTCGTGAAATTTAAAATTTAATCATATTGATATGACTATTTTTTTTTTCTTTTTTTTTTGCTTGATTTGATTGGCTTTATCTATAAGGCGATTAGGGTCAATGAACCCTCACAGATACATATGCTTGTGTATCTGATGATTCTGATTCTTTTGGCAGAGAACGGAACCAATATTAGATCAACAAAGGATTTGGGGTTGCAAGAAGGGGGATGAAACGTAGTAGTCACTAAATTGAAGCTCAAAATGCTCACTTATAAGTTTTTAAATAAATAATTTTTTTAATATATCAAAGATGGAAATAAGTTGGGTATATTGAGAGTACTTTCAAAATAAGTGAGTTTTGTTACTTAAAAGTAAGAAATGAGTAAAATATTCGAACAATATGTTTGAAAATATTACCTTTATTTTTTTAAGTTTAGCGACCATGCCCAAAACTGTGCCTAATTTATGTCAATAAAATCAATTGATAGTAGAATGGTATGAAGCCACTGTATATGGAATTCACTCACTATCCCTCGACTTGTTTCAACGACTTTATATCCTTGTACAAACTGACAGATATGATCTTCCCACTTTTAAAGGTGTTTAGGCTTCATTTATTGTTTCAGTTTTCATAACTTTGATTGGAAGTTAGATTTATATCCCTCCAACGTATTCATTTATGTTTTCATATTATCTTATGACAGAGGAATCCTAACTCCCTTCATACTGTCTTGATGGAACGACATTGGAACTGTGATAATGCTTTATTGAAAAAACAAAAAAAGACCTTAGTGTGAAATCAGAATCTAAGCCAACTAATGTTTTGTGTTATATGGTCAACGAATGTTGTATCCTATGCAGGCAAATAAAGGTGTATACCTGATTAATTTGCTTCTATTAAAGCGCAAATCAAGATGGATGGTATGTATTTTGTTACTGTTGGATTCGAACCCTAGACTTTAAAAATGTGCTTTCAGAATTTATGTTGGAATCGTATTTGTGAAACGCGACTTTATAAGTGCGGTTTTTACTGGATTGAGATACGTGGCTTTAATCTTGACCGTTGATTGCTGCTTGTGGATGGTTCTTGGGCCTTATCTTGTGAATGCCGTTTCACTTGGTATTTTGGTTGATTCATACCATCTGGCTCTTGGTTTTTGAGGAGAGAGAAAAACAAGAGAGAGTCTCTTGACTGCTAGGGTTTTCATCTTTGTTCTTCATCTCTCAAATTCCTGATTTGAGAACTGTGATCTATAATATTTAGCTTCTGATTTGTGATATTCTAAGTGAATGTTTGTAAGAATGAGAGGGTTCTTTTGAGTTGTTATTTCAGAGGGCTTTGAGAAGATTATTGGTGATTCTTCATAGATCGATTGTTGTTCTTTAGAGATAAGTGTTCTTGTGCTATCTTAGTATATTGGTTAAACATTTGTAATCTTCATTGCCATTTTAGGCTATTTAGTGCAACCAAAAGTAATCCAATTTATTGGATGTTCAACAGGGGATGTAGGCATTGAATGTGGTCGCCAAATCTCTGGGGCTTAAGTTGAAGAAGTCTCGTGTTCAATATTTAAATTCTGCACATTTCACTTTATGTAAGATTGTTTATTTTGCTTCTCGACACTAATATTGTGTGAACATGATCTTACAATTACCAATTCAAATATTCACCTTACTTCTTCACTCTATTATTGCAAAAATCGTGAATTTATTTATCTATTCAACTATCTCATAAAAATGATAGAAATTAAAGTATTTACTTATCTATCTATCTATTTATTTATTCATTTATACATGTACACTTTCAACACACCCACCAATATTTTTCATGATAAGCCCCGATGAATGGATTTATTTTTATTTTTATTTTATTTTATCTTTTTGTAAAAATAGTGTTGACACTCCAGTTCACGAGATTAGTGGTGGAAAAAATATTGATATTATCGTACAATAATTTATATTCAAAATAATCTTTTTACAGTGAATACATAGTTGGGAAGAATTCCGACTTACAGAATAAAAGGAATAAAACAGAATGATAATGATCGATGCAAGAGTTCGACTCTTTCTTCTTAAGACGATAATGCTCCGCACTGGTACTGACGGTCTTCCGGTATTTGTCTCCCAATAAACAACGACCTCGACTTGTAATAGTAGTACTGCAAATTATAAGACCCGATGAACCTACTAATGTTTTGATTTCTCTAAAATTGGAGGACTAAAATGCACGAAATTAATATTCGGGACTGAAATGCACAATATGGAATAATGCATGACGAAATAATTATATTTTGTAAGAGAGAAAATTAGGAAGGATTTTGGAATGAATAAAATTCGAGGTAATGGAACCTATTTACAAAAGTTGAAAAGTTATATCTAAAAGACACAACAGTCGAAAACTTATGTCTTGAACATACATAACTCATTGGACATGCAATTCAACTGTCAACCTCTAGTTTCTAGAAGATGTCATGTGTCGCGTACAGAAAAATCCATATGGACATATAGTTTAACCGTCAACCGCCAGTTTCTAAAAGATGCTACATGTCGAGCAAAAAAAAAAATCCAAGGAAATTAATAAATTTAAATTAATAATAAAATAATATTATTTAAATATTATTTTACGAAAAAATATATGCCAACTTGGCTCAAGCCCACGACCCATACCAGCCGATCCGACATTGACAGTGGTGCTCGTGTGGGCTTTAGCTCAACCTACTAGCATGTAGGTCCGCTTCCCTTCAAAGGGTGTGGTACTACTTAGGGTCCAAATCTAAGTCTCAAACTTGAGTAATATAAAGTAGTTTCTATTATTCTAGTTTTCTTACGTGGGGTTGGCATTTTCCAATTTTCAATCAATTTTGATTCCCGATTTATTTTTTCAACTGGTCATCTTTTGGTCTTAATTTTTCATTTACCTTAAATTGATTTTGAGAAAATAAATACATTACATTAATTTACTCGATGAGTAAAATACACTCGGTCAAATAAATATTTTGTTCAAATAACGAGATTCACTTAAATAATTGGTCAAACCAACTAATTTAAACAAATTTTCTAACAATTAGGACCATGTTAAACTTGTGGACCTATGATTAGCTCTACTTGTTTTGATTATAACAAACAATGTATTATGCTTATAACATATCCAGTTTCTTGAGTTTTCATGTATAATTCTTCCTAAACACTCAAAGGCACAAATAGTCATCCATTAAAGAACAAACAATCAAAAGAGACTCGAAGAGATCAAAAACCTTGAAGAATTAGAATCTTAGAAGTTGTTTTGATTTATATGTAAAGGTATAACTCATCGATTTTAACAAATGCATAAAACTCAAACAATTTCTCATAAATTCATCAATTGCATAAAAAAAATGTTTTTGATATAAAAATGATTTTGGAAAAATGAATATTTTAATATAAACACAAATTCCAAAACTTGTATACTTCGGTTGACCGAAATACACACCGATCGACCGAAATAGGTTGCTTACCGTATTTACAGGCCTCTTATCGTATTTACATAAATTACCGGATTTTCCATTTAACCGGATTTGACACTTCGGTCGACCAAAGTATGTTTTGGCCGACCGGTTTGATCAATCGAAGTATCAACCAAAACTCCAACGGTTTGATTTTGCAACAGCTATATCACACTTTCGGTCGACCGAATTACTCAACCGAAAGTGACTGATTGTGTCTTCTTTGCTCTATAAATATTCATCTCTTCTTACATTCAATTCTAAGAACTTACAAGAAAATTTTAGAGATATTATTTATTGAAGATCATTGAGTTTACTTGATTCTACATTCTACTTCATTTATTACAAAGAGTTTCTTGATCAATAAAACGTATTTAGTCTAATTTATTAAGAACACTATTTTGCAAAGAACTTTTCATAATCTCACATATTCTTTATCCTTGGTAGAAGTTTTCTTTGCCAACACTTTGATTCAAGTGTAAATCTCTATTCATACTTAACTTGCATTATTTGTTAAGAGAGATCATT